CTGGGATATATATAAATTTGCAGAATAAGACCTGTGTGTTTGTCTGGCTTAGAATTTAACACAAGAAACAAAGAATAGGTGAGACAGAGAAATTGAACTACTTTGTACATGAAGCACAGTCCTATATGGAAGGAATTTCTCTGAAGCATTACCAGGAGTTAAAGCCCATCAGTAAAGTAAGTGGCATACCTTGACAAAGAGGGATCAGATGTTTTACATAGTAAACTTTCTGACCAGAGGCCCTGCACAAAGCCTATACAATGCTCAAGCCTTCAAAACAGGACTTTGATGGTGCATAGGCCTTGAGCTGGCCGTCTGCTTAGAGTGAATTTCACCCTTTAAGATTTAGGGCTTTCTTTGTGTGAGTTAATGGTCAAAGTCCAGAATTCACAGCTATGTTCAGAACAACTGTGGCAGTTCCATGCACGGAGAAAGGGTAGTTTATGGCCCTTAGTGAGAATCTCTGAATTACTGGCCAAAAAAAGCTCAAAACAAAACACCTTATATGGATGCTGGTGCTTATCTTTGAGCAGGCATGTGGTGAATGATCAAGGAGAACTCTGGAAACAATCCATAAAGGTTGCCTGACCTCCTGCCATGCTATTTTTGGAGAGCGTGCGCTGTTACTTCTGGCTTAACCACTATGGGAATTCAGGTAGTGGGATAGGCCCAGGAAAGGATTTATTTTCTTTTTTTGCAAGTGCAAGTCAGCAGCAGCAAACTGAACTGTTGCAGAGGAAACTAGTGAAATCTGCGATATTCCCTGTAATGGCTGAATAATTCATAATTCCAGATGGCATCCATTTGGTCAGTGATCAAGTGCACCACACAGGGAAGTTTCTAGTACAGACATTTTTCAGAGTCTAGACTGACGCCATTTACTCTTCATATAATCGTATCTTGCCACAGTAAGAAAAATCAATATCTTTGCTGCTTTCACATGGATTTACACACATTTCAACAACTTCATACAGGTCACGTATGAAGTTAAAATCAGATAGGAAAGTCATGTACGTGAGATTCACAAACAAGTACATAATAATCCTTTAAAAAATATCAATGATAAATATGGATTCCCCTCGTCCTCTTAGGATACTGACAGTAAACTAGTTCCCTCAAAATTCCAACATATAACTATGCAGAGAAATAAACAAAACAAAGGATATTAGTGGGAAATGATGAAATACAAAACTTATTTCTAAATTATTAAGAAACACAAATGTCTGTATCTGAGCTGAGCTATATGGAATAGGAATTCTGTAGAGATGCTCACCTCAGGGCATATTTTCTTTTCAATGCACATGTGTGAGTTTCACTTATCCTACTGCATGTTACCAGATGTGTTTACCCGGAAGAAGAATGTACAGCCCTTAATATTTAAAAGGCAATTAAAGGCTAAGTTGTCAGAACTGTTTAAAACAATTGGGCAAAAATCTCACGAGTACTCCTACTGAAGGCAGTGAGACTATCTGTGTGAGACCTTATCTACATACCAGCTTAACTATAATTTAATTATTTTAATTAACCCGATGTGGCCTGTGGGGGTGAAACCCTTGCCCCACTCAAGTCAATGGGAGTCTTGCCATTGACTTAGCTGGAGCTGGGACTTCACCCCCTGTGGTTTAAAAATGCTGTATATCAATTCAGCCTAATTTGGTAAGGAATTGTTCTGTAGCTAAATTGAAACACACCATGTTTAAATTGGTTTCAGAATGTCCACATGTGTTTAGCACAATGGTCTATCAAATTGATTTTAGTTAATCAGAGCAACTTTGTGTGTAAACAAAATTTAAGTCAAATTAGATTGAAGTGAAGTAGGCATGTATTTTTTCAGAAATGTATTCCATAGCTATAGAAAAATATCCCTTTACATTACAACAGAGTGATATTTGGGTGTTAACACTTTGATAGTTGAATTACATTGCATAGCAGTAGTCCTTAATTAACAACAAATGAACAGCAATAATTCAGTTTTATGCTTATCACCATCCTATGCAGGCAACTCTAAATTCCATTTTGTCCATCACAGAAACAGCTCACTTTAAATGTACAGCTCTTGATTATATTTTTAGGAGAGCAGTCACCCAAAATCAAGCCAAAAAGGCATATTGCCATTTTATTCTAAGTCAGGCTCCTCAAACATTAAAGATATTCTGGTACCATTAGTTGGAGGGAACTTCACCCCTGTGCGTCACTTAAGTCCCATTTAAGTCTTCAAAGTAGGCCTTAAGTTTATGGCCCTTAGTGAGAATCTCTGAATTATTGGCCAAAAAAACCTCAAAACAAAACACCTTATATGGATGCTGATGCTTATCATTGAGCAGGCATGTTGTGAATGATCAAGGAGAACTCTGGAAACAATCCATAAAGGTTGCTTGACTTCCTACCATCCTTATAATTAGTTGATGATGAAGAGAATGTTACATTCCACTTTTGACATTACAGATGTCCTCTCAGTGACTGTGGAAGCAAATAGATTTAAAGATACAGGCCCAAACCAAAACCCTGTATCGAAGCATGTCTGAATTCTGAGATTTTTTTTTAAATCCCACCTCTGCAAATTGGACTCTATAAATGGGCCAGAGCAAAAGCCTGTATCAAAACATCCCAACCCCCAGATCCAGATTTGATTTTTTTTTCCAGTTTGGGCCCTTCTCTTGATAGAAAAGTTTGCACAAGCTCAGCTTGACGAAACACAGGGCTGAACGTGATGGAGGCCATATTAAAATGCCCTAAACTTGAAGTCTGCTAAATTAAAATGTTTGCTGGACACTAGAATTTCTTTCATCTCCTACTCTCTCTATACTTTATGAGCTCAACCTAGTCACCAGAGATCAGGATTCACCGATGCACAAGTTGGAGCCTTGCCCTGCAAACCGTTTCTAAATTATTTTTTCTCATGAGTGTATCTAGACTGGTACATAGACGTTTTTAAATACACTTGATTTCTTAATAAAAGAAGTGTGCCGAAGTCTGTAAAAGACAAACAGAATCCAGGACAAAGAGACAGTAACAGAAGGAAGGAAGATTCAGGAAGGTAAGAATTTAAGTGGTTTTGTGTATAGCAGGGGTCGGCAACCTACGGCATGCGTGCCGATTTTTGATGGCACGTGGGGTGGGCTGAGCTGCTCAGCCCGCCGCCGCTCTGGGGTTCCCGCTGCTGGCCCCTTGCCAGCCGGGGTCCCACTGCCAGTCCCACTCAGCGCCAGCTGCTGGCCTGAGTGAAGGAACCCCAGGCTGGCAGTGGGCTGAGACCCCGGCTGGCAGGAGCCGGCGGTTGAAACCCCAGAGCGGGGGCGGGCGGAGACGCTCAGCCCACCCCCGAAACCCCAGAGCTGGGTGGGCTGACCTGCTCAGCCCGCTACTGCTCTGGGGTTCCGGCTGCTGGCCCCTTGCCAGCCGGGGTCCTCACTGCAGCCCCACTCACCTTGCTTCCAGTTGGAGTTCCAGCGCAGGCCCCCTGCCAGACAGGGTCCAGGCTTCTGGCCCTGCTCAGCCCTACCAGCTACCAGCTCCGCTCACCTCAACTGCCGATCTGGGGTTCCAGCTGCTAGCCTCCGGTTATCAACTGATCACTCAGAAGCCTGTGTGCAGCTTAAAGTATCCAAATACGGGCCACCAGACATTGGAAAACTCAGCAAGGAAAAGCAAGGGCCAGGATCACACTAAACTAAGAAGATCTGCATTTTAACTTAATTTTAAATAAAGCTTCTAAAACATTTTGAAAACCTTGTTTACTTTACATATAACAGTAGTTTGGTTATATAATATAGACTTATAGAGAGACCGTCTAAAAAACGTTAAAATGTATTACCGGCACGCGAAGCCTTAAATGAGAGTGAATAAATGAAGACTCGGCACACCACTGCTGAAAGGTTGCCGACCCCTGGTGTGTAGAATAAAAGAAAATAAAGACTAACGGTTGCAAAATCTGACATAAGATACACCATAGTTTTTTATTTCCAAAGCTCAGCTCTATATGATAGATCATAGCAGACAAAGGAAATGGAAGAGCAAATCTGGAAACGTTGGCATGTTTAGTCCACTCTGCAGAAGTGGATTCCAGAGTAGGCCCTTACAAAACATGATATTTTGCAGCCATTTGGAACTTAAAGCCTTTTACTTGGAAATCTCAGTCACATCCTGTCCCACTGCATCATGTATACCATGGTAAAAATTATGTTGTGTCCAGAGAAGTGTTACACCTCATCAATATGTGCAGTGATCTGATGTGGCACAGTGTGTGGCCAAACTCAGCCTGCCATACAGTTAAAAAGAAAAGAAGAGAAAAAGGTATAAAAGAATGCCATTTACTGATTCAGACATCGTCTACACATCAAATCCAACTCTTGTTGAGTAATAGGTTACGATGACCCATCAAAAATGGGTATTTTCCTAGCACTGCTTAAGTTAGGATGTGTATTCCAATCCCTGCACATCTCTGCAACAGAGAAAACAGAAGGTCTTGGCACAACAGTCAGAGAGATGAGTTGGTAGGTCAGTTCCAGCTGGGCCCACCATGCTTTTCTGTATAGAAGTGCAGCATCCTTACCAGAATGATTTAAGTGCCAGGCCATGAATGCAATTTGCTTACATCATTTAAATACAGTTGTCTCCCTCTGAAGTCAATTCTAGATTTGTTAGGATGAAGTTACTTTCTTACCTTGCTAAACAATACAGATTCAGTAAATCAACATCCTACAAGGACTGGTGGTTTTAAACATCTATAGGATAGATACACCAGACTTTCTGACTTCACAGTGAGCTTATAACAGAAAAGAATCTGGATTTAACTTTTCAGAGGAACCAATAGGACGCAATGTGAGATGACGACTTTTTCTTGGCATGGTTTAACACCTATCTACAATTGTATTTATACTACCAATATAAACAACAAGGAGTCTGGTGGCACCTTAAAGACTAACAGATGTATTACTACCAATAAAGCACCTTTCAGCTGCATTTGGCTTTACTTGTTGTTTTTCTTTTCTATAGCATGGTTTTTTTTTTGTTTCATTCCTCTTAAATACTTTTGATTATCAAAGTCCTATGAATCGTTGCATTTCTGATAAGTCTGTAAAGCATCCCTCTGGAAAGCTGTGTGGAATCCCCATGGATTTGGAATTCTGCATTCACGATTTCCATGGATCATCTTCTCACAGCGATACAGGAACAGAGTCTCTAGCAGTTGTAAAATAGGAAGCACTTTTATTTTCTGGCTTAAAACGACATGATTTCCTTCTTCACTTATTTTTAGGGCCTGTGAAAAGAAATGAAAAAAATGGGTTGACGTTATACTATTTTGTGTCCCAGAGTCAGAAAAATATATTCATTGTCTGTCTTCTCTCTTATCATCTCTCACCTCTTCCTCCCTGCCTTTCCGACTGCCTCTTTCCTCCCCTTCCCAGTTAATATTTTCCTCTCTCCAGTGCCTGTCTATCACCAGTGCAGCTTGCTTCTGCTGCCCATTTACTAAAGCAGGGTGAAGTGCATTCCCCAAATAGTGTTCAATACATTTTTACTTCTTTCAGTTTTGCAAAGCACTCATGGGCTGGTCTTGCTGTTCGTATATCTTGTCAGTACTAGAATATATTCCAAGAATGTCAGAAGTGAACAGAAGACAGCCTATGCAGCATCCACTGTTGTCTCTAGGTATTCCAGCTTCAAAATGAGTCACCCTAAGGTGAAACTCACCCCTGTGCAGTGGCCAGCAGAATGCCACTTAAATCCTCCTTAAACCTTATTATAAGAACATGTGCTGTTCCAGAGCACCATATCTGGGTGGGATTTTCAAAAGTGCCTAAATGATATGAGCACAAGTGTCAGGCATTTTTGAAAATATTATCCTCTGTCTGTCTCCTTAGAAGGCCTTGTCATCATAGTATCTGAGCACTTTGCAAACATTGATGCAGGTGTGTTCAACCAAACCATGCAGACCAGTTTTGAAGCTATATAAATTCATGAATGGGTTTTAACATAGTGTAATGGCTCAAATCTGACAAAAAATTGAATCCTAATATTGATGACATATTTGCAATTTTATCCCCTCCTCATCATTTTTCCAGCTCTACTATTGATTGTCCCATTGTAGAGGTGGTAGCTCTCTGTAGCACTCTCTCTCCCAATGGTAAATTGGTAACATGAGGGAAGAGATTAAACAGAGAACAGTAGAAAGTTGAGAGGCACATCCAAGGGTTGGAGGGGATAGCGTTTCCATTTGACACCACCATATGTGGAAGATTGTCTTCCAAAAGCAGGAAGGAGGCAGATGCCACCAGAGCTGGAGATTTTGAAGGGACTCTGGAAACTTGGAATATCTGCTCCAGACACAGTCACATACCAGTTAAATGATAGGTGATAGGAGAGCATTTAAAATACTTTAAAACCAGATTGGCATTTCATTATAATCACCTATGATATTGGCGATGGAAAGTATGCATAGATTCCATTGACAAGGTATAGAGAAATATTGTTTCCTTGTTTCTACTGGAGCAGAAATTGGAAATGAAAAGGATCTGTTTGCATTGGGTACACATCCATTTCACAGCAAACATATTTGCTGGATAAATTAAACAGGAAATAATAACCACACTCAGTACTTAGAGCACTCTCCGTCAGAGAATTTCAATGTGCATTACAAACCATAAGGGGCAAATCCTCTCTCCTTCTCTACAGCCATACGGGGAGAGGAGGCACAGAGTCCCAGATACAAAATTGCAGTATAGAGCTGAACTCCATTAAAGCTCCACTTGAGCCATTACCTAGCACAGGGGTTCTCAAACTGGGGGTCGGGACCCCTCAGAGGGTCATGAGGTTATTACATGGGGGGGTCGTGAGCTGTCAGCCTCCACTCCAAACCTCGCTTTGCCTCCAGCATTTATAATGGTGTTAAATATATTTAAAAGTGTTTTTAATTTATTGGGGGGTCGCACTCAGAGGCTTGCTATATGAAAGGGGTCATCAGTACAAAAGTTTGAGAACCACTGACCTAGCAGAACTTGGTGGGGGATGCAGGGGCACTTGGAGGCAGAGGGACCAGGCTTTTGTGACTACACGGATCCACTGCCTAGCCATTCTTGCCAGCACATGGGCTGAATGGACTGTGGACTGTTCCTCAGGCCTGAGATTGCAGTAATGGCTGTGGAGCTGTTCCTGAGAATTCTCCTAACTCCACAGGGTCAGACAAGGCCAAGCCTGTTTTCTTAGGCTTAGCACAATGAGGAACAGGGTGATTTGCCTTCGGTTGATTAAGTGAAATAGGTATGGTTAGTACCCCCCATTTTACAGAAGGAGAAACTGAGTCACAAAGAGGGTAAGTGGTGCACCCAAGTACCCACAACTAATCAATTTCAGAGCCAGGATTATGACCCCAGCCTCCTCGGTTTCAGTCTAATGCACTAACTACTAGACGGTGCTGCGATTCTTCAGTCTACACATATAGCCTCGCTGTCTTTCAATGAAGGTAGAAACTGATATTGTCTGAAAAATTTGGAATCGCACCTAAAGTCATGCAAAGTTCTCCAGTTTGGGGGCTTTACTGTAAACACAAAATTCTCAAACTGGATTCCTAAATCTTGCAATGAGCCTCTACTAGCTTTTCAGCAGATCTGTGTTGATTTATGATTTTGGATGAAAACCATCTAGATAGTGGTGGGGTTTAGCCAATGTTTATTTGGACCTTTGGGCTTACTTAAATCAAAAACTCAAGAAAATAAGGGAAGGTTGGGGGAATGAACCCATTATTTTCCGGACTCAGAAGTCTGCCAGACATATAACAGGGCAAATAAAATCAAAACAAAAAGATTATGTCTTTACTATTTGTTTTTTATGAGGGCCAGGTTTTCAAAGAGTTTGTGTGCAATGGTGTGCTTAATTTGCACATGCCATTGCCTTATTCTGCATGTAAATCAGAGAATAGTACATGCAAATACAGCTAAATAGGTGTTTGCACCTGCATCTTTCTGGTTGGTGTATGCAGCCAGGATAATTTCATGCATAAACTCTCTGACCAAGAATCTGCTAAGCTTAGCTCTAATTCTGTCAGTAGGGATACCTTTAAAATTAGTTTAAATTGGTTTTTAAAACTTAATTAAAGTATTAAATTTAGATCATAATTTAATGTAATTGAAAAAACTAGACTAAAGGGAGACAGCCCTTTGGGGCCGTCTCCTTTGATTTGTACTGATGTTCTCATAAACACTAAAGCTGAGAGACAGGACTAGATCCTCAGTTGGTGTGAACTGGAGTGATGCCAGTTAACCCCAGCTTAGAATCTGGTCCTGTGTAGATACCAGCATGAGACAGATGACTCTGCCACAGGTTGATGCACTGAGTGAAACCTGCACAGAATAGATATTAAAGAGAAGTTAGAGGCATGTTCCAGAGAAGACTGCCTCAGTCTGATTTTAACTCTGGTGAGTCTGCTCCGACAACTGACAGCATCAGTTTATCATTCCCTAAGGCTCCTTGGCTGGGGACTGACTGTCACAAGAAACAGGTCAGCGAATGAGAACATTTTCTTGTCTCTGCTCACCCCTGCCTGACTAACTGTGTCTCTACTGTATAAATGATTAAGGATTGTAGATGACCCAGTTGGAGGAGTGGAGGAAAGAAACTGACACACCCTCCCTCAGCACCACCAATAAATAAGTAAATTATTCAGACTACAGCCCAGCAGTTTTAGATTAAATCACAGAAAAAACTTCCTAACTGTAAGAACAGTAGGAGAATGGAACAGATGCTTAGGGAGGTCTTGGAAGCTCCTTCACTGGAGGTTTTCAAAAGGAGGTTGGAGAACCGTCTGTCTTGGATGGCTTAGACACAACAAATCCTGCACCTTGGCAGGAGGCTAAACTAGATAGCCCTTGTGGTCCCTTCTAGCCTTGTGGTTCTATGCTTTTATATCTGGAAGCGGATGTTGATCAGACTTTTTTAAAGCTTAGATATTTCTTTCCCTTCTTCCCCCTTCACTTCTGTTTTCCAGCCACAACTGGAATGAAAAGCACCGAATGCCACGATAAAGGGCAGTCCCAAACTATGTTTCACTATGTCCAAAAGTAGACTTGCTAGAAATATTAGGGCCCGTTCCTGTGAGCTTCCCAGTCTCTCCTGGGGTTCAGATAAACTGCTTGAATGTTTGGCTGCTTATCTGGAATGTATCCAGACCTTGGGCTTGATCCCCCACCCTTTGAAGTCAATGGAAAGACTACATTGGATCTTGAATCAAACTCCTTTTGAAGTGTGTCCGTCACTGAACCTGGAGATATAGCAGCCTCTAGCCATAAAGCCTGCCTAGTAATCTACTTACGAGTACCTGCCCGACATTTTCCTCACGACGGCAATGATGATTCCAGTAACGATTCCCACTGCTATTATGATTCCAACGATGATTCCAACCAGTGCAACTGTTGCCAGGCCATCTGAGTGGGGAAATGTATAGGATGTTAGCATGTTTTCCACGTAACCCATGTATAACTATGGGGCCGGATAGTAAGAGGTCCTAATACTTTGTAGTAAAATGGAATTATTTTTGTCACATTCGATTCCATAGGAATCTTCCCTGAATCCTGTGAACTGTAAAATATGTCATTTAGATTTAGAGAGACATGACAGGTCCGACTGGACCAAACTCTGTTGGTGATAATGCTTAATTTGTGCTGGGCTAAGCCCCGGCACCTCTACGCTTGGCAGTTCAGAGCCCCGGCACTTCCAGACTTGCCGCATCAGTTATGAAAGTAAAAAAAAATTGCTTGAGCCCCGGCACCTTTTTCATTGCCTATTAAGCACTGGTCGGTGACACAAGGTTTTGAGCTTACACAGAGTTCTTCCTCAGCTCTGTATAGCTCAAAAGCTTGTCTCTTTCACCATCAGATGTTGGTCCAATAAAAGATTTTGCCTCACCCACCTTGTCTATCTTGTACCTTGGGACTAACACGGCTACAACAATACTGCAAACCACTTGAAAATATCAGAGAGTCCTGTGGCACCTTTAAGACTAACAGATGTATTGGAGCATAAGCTTTCGTGGGTGAATGCCCACTTCGTTGGATGCATGTCATGAAAATATGTCATTTAGGTTTAGCAGTTTCCTTGCTCACTTTCTTTGGGCCTGTTGGAGTCAAAGAGAGTTTGTCCGTTTACTTCAATGGGCTTTGAGACAGGCCCTTTAAAGCCTTTAAAAGTTCATAGCCGTATATCATGTGGGATTTAAGTGCATATATTCCTTTTATAACCAATTTTGTTACTTACCTTTCTCGTCTGTAGTCCCTGGCTCGCCACCCACTTCGTCTGGAAAGAAAGAACCAAAATAACTTTTTAATACGGTGACTGTTATGTCTTCATACCATGATGTTACACTGTAGGGGAGGTTATAAAAACTACAGCCCAACGGGTCTGAGAATGAAACCACTACAGGTGTGCAGTTTAATAGGGTGTTAATTGGGGAGTGAGTGTAAATAGAGAGCACACAGAGAGTGTAGAGTAAAAGGAGTTGTGAAGAGACTGACCCTCACAGCTGAAATAAAGGCTGTGTCTACACGTAAAATGCGACAGCAGCACAGCTGCAGCTGTAGCGCTTCAGTGTAGATACTCCCTACAGCAGCGGTTCTCAACCTATTTATCATTGTGGGCCGCAGGTTGAGAACCACAGTGCCCCCCACCTAACACCCCCCACAAACCCCTATGCTCAGCACCCTCCGCCCAGAGATCCCGCCAAAGAGTGGGGCCAGGAGCGGAGAGCTGGGTGTGGGGTGAGGGGCAGGGACCCCGACCCCCCACTGTGCGGGGTCAGGGGGCAGCCAGGACCCCGACCCCAGACCCTGCTGGGTGGGGCCGGGCGGCAGCCGGCTGCCCAGACCCCGGATCCCGCCGGGACCCCATTGCATGGGGTCGGGTGGCAGCCAGCTGCCCGGACCCCGGATCCCGCTAGGACCCGTTGCATGGGGCCAGGTAGCAGCCGGCTGCCTGGACCCCGAGCCCTGCCATGCGGGTCCGTGCGGCAGTCGGGAGCTGGCAGCCTGGAGCCTGCCCCGCAGCAGAGCAGCTGGGAGCCAGCAGCCCGGAGCCCGCCACACAGCAGGGCAGCCGGGAGCCCGGAGCCTGCAGCCTGTAGCACACATCTGACCTGGGCTGCAGCTGTGTGCTAAATGGGCTGTGGATTGTGAACCGCTGCCCTAGAGTGACAGGAGGGATTTCTCCTGTCACTACAGTTAATCCACCTCCCCCAGTGGTGGTAACTAGGTTGACAGAAGAATTCTTCCATGTCTACACCGGGGTTAGGTCAGTTTAACTACGTTGCTCAGGGGTGTGGATTTTTCACCCCGGGTCGACCTAACTTGTCAGTGTAGGCCAGCCCAAAGACAAACCGACTAAAGAGATCTTGAACTGGTGTGAATCAGGATCAACACCATTGAGATCAACAGAGCTACACTGGTGTAAAACCACTGTAAATTAGATTTCACAGATCATCTTAACTCTGGCGTTTCCTAACTTTTGAGTGCTTGACTTTGCAACCTTAATGTTCTTTTAACACAATTTTTTGTATAATAAATAATAGCAATATCTTAGCTAACCTAACTGCAGAGTGACACCTGCCTGGTTAAAATCAGGACAACAAACAGGCAGGGAAGTGATCAGTGTCCCAGATATTAAAACTAGTGTAGTTTCTTTGGTATATCATTTTATTTCCTACATTGGATCCTTAAGTGGGCTAGTCAAACTTGGACTGATTTGTTTGAGGCTTGAGCCCAGAGACATTAATCTTTCATTATTTGTTTTTGATTCTGCTCTAGATTTATGCCTAACCGGACAGGAAGGCAAGTTTGTTTAGGATGCCATGAGCTTGTCTGACCTGAACATATCTGTTACAGTATCTGCACTCCACGGGGCCAACTACCCCCCCCCCCCCGAGTTTGTACTGCACAGCGTGTTATTGGCTTGCAATCTGACAGTGCAGCAGTAGGATGCTTTATGACACAATGCCAATGTTTTAAGGAAAATGTGTCATTTTTAGGACGGCTTTGTTTGTGTTTTGACAGAAAAAGTAAGACACTGGGAAGATATTTTTGCTCTTTGGCACAAACTGGGCACTGATGGCTAGGACAGCTCAGCACACCCATAATATTTTATGGCACTTAAAAATGCTTATAATAATGCACAAACTTTTCCTTCTCACAATTCCTGGGCATTTACTCATTCCTCTTAATTTTAACATGAAAGGTACCAATAACAATAGGGTAGATCAGGGATAACCCTTTTGTGACTGTTCAAAGCCCATGCAGTTTCAGGGTATCATGCTGCAGTTAATTGGTGGGTCTCAGGCTGCACCTGATGAAAAAACAATTCTTTGGGTATTAAATTCTGAACAGCACTAATTTAGGGAAGGGTTCTCTGTTTTAGGTGACTGGTGAGATTGCCTATAAAGGGCTTGCAGCTGTTATGAGGCAGAATGGTTTGTGGTTAAGACACTGGCTGGGGACAGAGGTAATCTAGGTTCTATTCCTGGTTCTGCCACTGATGTCCTGCATGACCTTGAGCAAGTCACTTTTCTTCTCTATGCCTCAGTTTCCCCATCTGTAAAATGAAATAATACTAGCTCCCTTGCAATGGGGTGTTGTGTATTCATTAATGTTAAGCACTGTAAGATCTTTGAATAGAAGTGTTTAGCGAGCATTACTGTGCACACTACAATTATTATGGTTGTTGGGAAGTAGATTTTAATTTGAAGACTGGAAGATTTTTAGTACAAAAGGTGTTCTGACCTAAATAATAGAAATTCTTTGTATATACTGTCTTGTACTTACTTGACTGATACCAAATTTTTTCCTTCTTTCGATAATTAAAAAAGTGGCTCTGTATATAAATAAAATGGTAGGAACTTGATATTGCATTGGCTTAACTAATGCATACACCTTTGAACTCCAGAAACTTGGGGCCAGATAATTTGGTCACCACATACTAATTCCAAGTAGTCATTGGCCTGCATCCACCCCATAATCTGCTACAATTTGGCATGAGTGACAGTCTCTACTTAATAAAGAACCAAGCCTAAACTAACAAGTGTGTTGCAGATTGGAACTGCAATGCATTGTCAAAGCTTGTGTGTGGGAAGTTTGTACAGAGGCTGTACAATCTCTTTCTCTAGCCAGTGTTATTAACTCCTTACTTGAGTAGCAACCAGTAGATGAAACACAATTGCTGCTTTCTTTCCTAGAGGAAAGTGATCTCAAATCACCCACACATAATTTAGAAAGTGAGTCTGAAACTCCCCCTGTAAAATTCAGAGTTGGTTACCATTGCTTCTGTTATTTAATAATGAACAAAGTCAAGAGATGCCCAGACTGGCAGCAGAGACAAAGAATCAGGTAAGGAGACAGAAGAACATACATTTTTAAACAAATGTGTTTGATCTTCTATCCAGGGATATGCAACTGCTGCAGCATAGAAAAGCAGAGAAAGAAACCAGCAACAAAAGACAGAAATTTTGTCTGAGGACTGTAGTTAACTTAATGTCTTCTTATTTATCAACAGATAGAGCCAGTTCCAATGTCCAGGTAGAACAGTGAGTGACCTGGGGCAGCGACATCTCCAATAACTGCTTGTGTGAGCAACAGCAGTTTGGGAGGGGGAGGGTTGCAGGTACTTAGGAAAGCAGAGCCCAAGGCCAGGCTGTTCCAGACAACTGTATGAAATTTGCTTTGCAGGGATCTGTGGAACTATTTCACATTGCGGCTAGACGAATGCCATCCCAGTTCCACTTTGACTTTCCATTTTGAAACAAACCTCATATGCCAAAGCAAAGCTCAGTTGCAACCACTAGAATTCATGGGATTTCAGTGCAAAGCCATGAATGGGCCCAGCTTGGCTTTGACAGGTTCATGAACCTCAGTGAACATAACTTACACTCTAGTAAAACTAAAAATCACAAGTAAAGGCTTCTACCTTCAGAATTTTCAACAACATCCGGATCAGTAGAGTTCTCACTGTCTTCATTATCGGCGACCATACTTTCTGTGGTTATTAGCTCTTCTAAGGGGAACAGGTCTCTTATAGTGTGCAGTCTTGTAGGTAACTGGGAGGAGTGAATGTAAAAAGAGAAAGAGAAAGACAAGGTAAGACCCAATCTCTTTAACATTTATATATAAAGGCAGAACTTTAATTTCCTCGCCTGCATAAAGTCCAATGTCTGGATTCGGAGGTCAGCTCTGCTCTTTTTGTTCTACTCCTGCAGCAAAGAGGGACTGAAAAGGTATCCTATTGTCCTAGTTTGAGGGAGTCCCCTGTGGGCATATAGAAAGCATAGCAGTCTCCTATGCAATTGCCTGCAGATCCTCCTGTCTATGGCTTGATGGGGATGAAGTGTGACCATGCTGCAGTCCAGCAATCCCTAGGCTGCTCAAATCTACCCCAGGACTGGGTCAGAAGCAGCCACATGATCAGGGAGCCACAACCAGGTACCTTTTATCCCCAGCTCAAGATCAGTTGAGAATCAAGCCCTACGTTTCACAAAAAAGAAAAGTGTGTGAAACAAAGACAGAAAAGAAGCAGCCCTGTTTGGCTGTCCTGTGTTTTACAAGTTTTCATAATAATAATATAAGTCTATATTTGACTGTCTGGATTTGCAGTGTGAAAAACACATGCTGAATTACTGATCAGTAATAAGCTATGTCCACCATGAAGGCCAGCTTTTAGGAACGCAGCTGTGGGGAAGTATTTCCAGTATCGAGGACAATATGCCAGTTCATCAGTTTCTAAAGGGAAAAATTAGATCATTGGGTTTTTGTTCATTGTCACTAATTCAACTTTACTGTAAAGGAACAACAGTTGATGCAACTGAAAGTTAGAACTGCTTGCCACAGCAATCACTAACAGCAAAACATTGTCAATGCAGAGGCAGGGAAAGGACAGTTTTACCCAGTGTCGTAGAAATTTACAAATTTGTTTGTCCATTGTGTTACATCAGTTCAACATCAGGGCAGCTCCACCGAAGCCAATGGAGGCACACCAGGGCAGAACTGGTATAAGACAGTGCATAGCAAGCCCTGAATATTCTGTGAAATTCAGCAAATGTTATAATTATTTTCAGCTTCATCTCCTGCCACTCAAAGTTTTGCAAAGCAAAAAACTGGTATTTGGCCACCCTTTATTTTTGGAACAAATCATCACTTATTGCCATAAAGCCACAAGTTCAAAATCTGACTGCCCAAAAGACAAAGCAAGAAGACAAGGAACACAGTGCCAGCTAGGTCTGAAGATCCTCAGTTCAAGAGACACCCACCAGAGTTGGCCTTTCTTCAACCTCTGAGTCATTTCTGTCTTTGAAATCGATGGATACTGTTTCATCTTCCAGTGGAACTGTGCTTGCTAAGGGAAACACAGAAAACGAGTTAGGGATTCAGTTGATGGTCACTTATTATGGCTAAATTGAACATTCTCCAAATTAAGTATATTCAACATGAGATAGTTTACCTCCACTGCCATATTTACCTATTGGTATATTGCTAATATACACATGTATATTAGCAATATACTTTGGTTTAACGTTGTGGCCTAAGTCTTTGGTTTGTATTGAGCATCCTGGCCAAGAAATCAGCTGTCCTTTATTTACAATGTTTAAATAGTTTTGGCCAGAGGTGCTGAGTCCACAAGGTAGTGTAAACGGAACTCGTGATGAGAAGTAGGATTTTGCTTTTTAGAGAGGTCCCTGGATGCCGAAACAATACTCACCTGTGATTGACTTAAAGTAACAATGAACAGCTGCTCGGTTGTGCCATTGGAATTCATCTGATAGAGCACTGAACTGTGAAGAGGACTCTCAAAGGCATGTGTTTGGGAAGGTTTTGCACTTCCCCACTAAGGACAATACAAAGACAAGTCCCTAGAAGCAAGTTAAATCAGATATAGTTTAATTCTAAATTAGACTGGGTTTGCCTGTTACCACGACTGGCATTATTAAACACTTGATGGAGGGGCTCAATGTGCATCTGGTTTCTACACAAAAAGTGCTGTGGAGTGATCTCTAAATTACTCACTGATTTCCATATCCAGTTCTTCTTTCCTTGAATACATACTGCACTATATATATATTCCCCCAGTCTGGGCTGCAGTGCATTTATTAGAAATGTCTCTATCAAGAAATAATTTAATTAAGACAGTTGTCCTGACTAGTTCACTAAACCGCAATGGATCGCCGTAGCGATGATATTCAAACAATTTATCTATTTGTCACCGTATAGACTTCAAATCAACTTAACATCTGATTTTGTACAGAAAGCAAAATAATGGTCCAGGCCTATAAGATGCTGAGCATCCCCATCTCCTCTTGAAACTCTCAGCTCAAGGCTTCGAATACCAGCAATATTCAGAGTTTCAGGCCTTTCTGATGCAAAATGGTAGACATCAAAGAGAAAAAATAGGTGAAATTCTGAGCCCCCAATGTTAGTAATGGCTTTGTAACTCTAGTTTTTCCCATAGTACTCATCATTTATTTCTAATGATTTTTGGAAGGGTAGGCAGTGTCAAAGCTTCAAATGTACAAAGTTTTAAGGCTTGAATTCAATGGGAGCTGTTGGTACTCACATCTCTGAAAACCACGCTACCTACTGAGGTACCAACGCCCTGATCCAGGAAAGCACTTAAGCATTTATGTATCTTTAAGCACACAAGGAGTCCCATTGAAATCAGTGGGACCTAAGTATGGATGTTGGTGCCATACTGGAAAAATGCAAGTTTTGGAACAGTTGGCCTTAGTTTTTTCTTACCAAGACATATGTAGTTTAATCAAAAGAGGTGCTTATGGAACACCACAGGTACGGTGTATAGCCTGTACACCAGCTTGTGTGACAGGCCCAGATTTGACATAGGACTGATGTTGGATAAGTGCATTGACTGGAGAGGGCATGAAAAAAGAAAGGGGTTGTGGCAGAGGTAAATAAAGAGAATTGGTTCACCCCAAATTAACCTGACCAAGAGGCTCAAAAATCTGAAAACCATCCCTGTTAATAATCAGAGTATTTGAACAATCAGTATCTGATTTTTTGCTTCCCTCATTGGGTAGTTTCTATTCCACAGTATTCCTGCAATATGTTTAATGAATAGAATTGTTTTATTCAGTACCTTTCATGTCCCAGTGTGATTTACAAAGTGCCAAGTGACATATTTGCAGTGCTTTGCGTGTGAGCAAAGAGGGAAACTATTCACAGGGCTTACCACGTAGCAAGCAGGGCTTACCACGTAGTTTTAATATTTTATTTAGGGGGAAATTATTTGCCCCAATTATTATTGGATTATTTTAATAGCAGCCTCATGTCTTGTGTGCCTGACATTAGGGGGTTATTGCTTTATTCTCTCTCTCCCATGAAATGGTTTTATAGAACAGTTGATTTAATCTGCACACTATTTTTTCTTTATTACATTGTATATGAATGTATAGTGCCTTGACAGCCATGAGGATTTATTCCAAGATTTTGAAATGTGAGAATCTAAAGTTAGGTTTCTAAGTCCATATTTAGGCACATATAGAAGTTTCTGTTTAGAAGCCCAAATATAGATTTAGGAGCCTAAATATAGGCCCACAGATTCTATTTAGGTGCCTGAATATGGATTTAGGACCCTACTGTTAGACACTCAGTTTGGAACACTTTGACCTAAATTCCTATATAAATGTCCAGAACAAGAACAGCAGGGAAGCAGCCATGCAAACTTCCTCTAGAGAGACAATTTAAAGGCCTTGATTTTCAGAAAGTGCAGAGGACCCATCTGCTGCAAATCAGGCCCCTTTCAGATGTTTCATTTTGCACACCTAAAATTTGAGGCAACTAAAATCACTAGTCACTTCTGAAAAATTGGATCTGAAAGATGGACTACTTCAGTCCTGATTGGTCTCTCTGCTCAGACAGTTCATATGTGCATGAATTGCAGTAGTTTTCCATGATGTCCACTGGGAAGTGGCTCAAGAGCACTGAAGCAATTTCACACAGACCCCAGTCAGCCATCAAGGGTAACAGCTTTCAGTCACTACCAGGGTGAATTTGAACTTGCATCTTACATACAAAAGACTGTATAGCCCATTATCCATCTCCTTACTTATCTCTTTATTCTAAATGGAAGTATTATTTACCTCCTGAGATCTATTTGCTGTTAATGAATGAAGGATTGCTTACTACTCGTTTCTGGTGAGCCAGGGTATTAAGGAGTAGTGTATATTATTATTTGTATTGTAGTAGCACCTCAACCAATCAAAGATCAGGGCTCCATTGCACTAGGCACTAGGGATGTAAAATGTTAACCGGTTAACTGGTAAGCGTTAGTCTTACTGGTTAACTCGCCTTAACCATTAACCCGTCGGCCGGCCGGCCGGCCAACCCCAGCAGCCCCACGCTGGCTGGCCCACTGACCCCATTGGCCCCAGCCACGCTGCCTGGTCAGAGTGGCCGGAGCACTGCCGCCCAGCCGGAGCGGCCCTACCCACACCGCCTGACTGGAGCCGCCCCAGCCGCGCCGGATCAGTTAACCATTTAAACGAAATATTTTTAATCGCTTAAACAGTTAACTTTTTACCTGGTATTTACATCCCTACTAGGCATTGTATTCACATAACAAAAAAAGAGCTGGCCCAGTGATCTTATAATCTAATAATATCATTCTTGTGTCGGAAAATACAGTAAAAATCCTTTTTCTATCTAAATTATTTTTAAAAAATTGTGTTTGATGATTATTTTTCTCTTCTATTTTTGAAGACGTTCTAAAAGAGCAAATACTGATACATATTAAATGTTTCCCCGGAGCAGATCTAAACCATAAAGTATTTAATAAAGGCATTTCTCCAGATCTGAAATGGCTACCGAACATCAAATATTTAAAAAGAAAAATCCAGTTACTGAACAGAAAAAGTCTAAATGCAGATACAGAATAAAATACTTTGTCTTCAGCCCTCTTTGGGTTTACAAAGTAATGCCTTTACATTACAATATTTGGATTAGGATGCTGTATATACTGTGTGTAAACTGAGAAACATCTGCTTGAGAGTTCAACAACGCAACTTGTGAGGATCAGTTAAAGTTATAATCCCAGTCCCAACTGAAAAAACATCCCTTATACACTGGTCATAGAATAAGCACAGATGGAGAAAACCAATGAATGGAGGAAAACTCCACATGGGAAGTGAAAGAAGTTCACTACATGCATAACAAGAACCCCATTCAAGGAAATTAATTACTCTGTTGGCAGTGCAACGGCTTTCAGCCCTTAAGAATTACTTGATACCATGGGTGCCGAAAGGAAACAATGCAGCAGAACAAGTAGAGCATTAGTGAGCTTCACAAAGAGAGACACAAGGGGCAGTGAAATAATCCAATTTTGTATGCCAAAGGTAGTGTAGGAAATCTGTCTTTGTCTGTATGTTTGCATTAGTGATTTATATAGTGCGCAGCCTGAAAGAGCACCATCTCTTTATCTTAGATTAGATTAGATAAAGAGGTGACTTGATCATGGTATATAAGTACCTTTATGGAGAGAAAATATCAAGTACTAAAGGGCTTATGAACAAGAACCAATCCCTGAAAGTTGAAGACAGATTAATTCAAATTAGAAATAAAACATAATTTTATAACAGTGAATGTGATTAACCATTGAAACAAACTACAAACAAAGGGAAGTGGTGGATTCTCCGTGTCTTGATGTCTTCAAATCCAGGCTAGATGCCTTTCTGGCAGATAATCAAACATTAGGCTCAGTACATTGGAAGTTGGGTGAAATCCTGTGGCCTGTGTTATAAGGGAATCAGATTAGATGATCTAATGGTTTCTTCTGGCCTTAAAATCTATTATTCATTTTTGGGTTTCAATTGCAAGTGAAAAGGGTTTGTAAACTCTCATTAGTTCTCTGACCCCAAAAACCAGAGGTTTACAAAACTTCATACTCTGTTAGGTTTGTCAACCCTAATTCTCAATACACTGTGACCAATGCAGTTAAATGCATTTCCCACACGTATACTATTGTACACAAGGAATGAACTCCATCTGAGGCATGGTCTACACCACAACTGGTGGTTGTTAGTAGCATAACTCAAGTCGACGTAGCTTAGATCTACTTACTGCGGGGTCCTCACTTCACTATGTCAACGGAGTACAGAAATCGATGGGACATCACTCTCCCATTGATTGAGCGTGTCTTCACTAGACCCGCTAAATCGATGCCACTGTATCGATTGCAGCAGTGCCGATTTAGCTCCGTAGTGAAGACAAGCCCTGAGTCAGCAAAGACCAAGCCTGGAATCCCAGCCCCACTGATGTCAATGAGAATTTTTTCATTGTCTACTATGGGGCCAGGATTTTATCACAAGAGTCATACTGGAGAAAACTTAC